GACACGTCATGCCATAACCATGAGTTTAACCCTCTATCCATACCACCAATCAACATGGTCAAAATAACATTGCGCCTAAGATTTTTTTTTTCAGTACAATAGTAGTTAATAGTATTTATCTACTTTATAACATCTAATATAAAGTGTGACTGTTACAGTTTTTGTCATGTCTCTGATTAATGCATTTGCATATGTGCTTGCTCTTTTACAGGATCAATAACTGTGTTGGAGAGCTCAATCAGAAATACTTCATTCAGTTCCTCTTCTACACAGGTGAGTTTTAAGAACAATGGTGTCCAAACCTGCTCCTGGAGGGCCACTGTCCTGCAGATTTCATCTCCAATCCCACTTAACTCTTTCCCTACTGTTGACGGAATTTTCCCATTTAAGCAGCACTTTGCAAGATTTCCGTTTTTGTCAAACTGTGACCCCTAGAGTCTCTGTGGAGTACTTGTACTGTCGTGAATAGCACTCACGCAGAGATGTCTCTGCACTCACGGCCTGATCCCCTCCCCCTGTATACCGGTACCTGTTCAGTTGTAATGAAGCTATAATTGGAAGCTGTAATGAGTGGAAATAAGGTTAAGAGCTGTGCCCTGTTGAACTGTCGGCAGTCTGTATTGTATGCGCCTCGAACACCACATGTATACAGCGCCGGGTTATTTCTGTTTGATGTTTATTTGATCAGATCTTTCTTGCTGTAAAGCAATTCGTTACATCGCGAGACCTGATATCACGCAACACTTCTTGATGCTGCGGCCCGCCGGCTCAAAGTTGCAAGTGTGTTTTTTTCTGTTCACAGGGACCAGGGGGGCGAGACGCACAACATTCAACCTGAAAATAGTCATATAACCATTGCAATAACTCTGAAGCTATTCAGTTAAGGTAAAAAAACAGCATAGAGCTGCTTTAGTGAGAAAGCGCTTCCCCAGCATTGAAGGATTTTTCCGGCTTTCTGTGTTTTCACTGTTAAATGGTAGCGGGCGCAATCTGCCCTGTCTATGTTTTGAATCTGATCTGGATGTAGCTTTTGATAAAAATGCGGTTTTCTCAGCTTTTTAGTTAACTTTGTTTCTTATATGAAACCTGCCCACGTCCAAATGTTGATATAAAAGCAGAGTTTCTGTTGATATATTTAGTTTAGATATTCATACTACAAAATATTCTGGGTTCCTTGAAACTTTTGTAAAAAATGATTTTAAAAAGTCTGTCAAAAAAAAAAAAATTGGGGAAAAGGGTACTAAACCAGAGCCCCTTTCCCACAGAGCATCGATCCCAAAGAATTGATGGAATTTGATGCACACACAGATTCCAGAAAATCACTGGCAGTGTGAATGAATTAAACGATCCCGGGACAAATCCCTGGACACATAATCAGTGTGTTTTCCAGAATCTCTGTGTGAAAGGGGCTCAGGGGTGTCAAAAATCGCATCTGGAGAGCCACTGTCCTGCAGAATTTAGCTCCAACCCCAGTTAAACACTCCTGAACCAGCTAATCAAGGTCTTACTAGAAATATTAGAAATGTCCATGCAGGTGTGTTGAGGCAAGTTAGTGGTACACTGCTGGACAGTGGCCCTCCAGGACCATCTTTGGACACCCACCTTGTTTAGCTGGTTCAGCTGTGTTTAATTAGGGTTGAAGCTAAACTGCAGGACAGTAGCCCTCCAGGAGCCCTGTTGGATTTTATTTTCAGTTTTTTCATCTGACTTTCCATTTCTCTCTTCTAATGCCACATGTCTGTAGGCATGGCCAGCTTGTATTCCATGGCGCTGGTGGTGTCAGCATGGGTGTGGAGAATAAGGAGTGAAAGAGAGGGAGATGAAGATAAAGAAGGTGAAGAATCTCCCAGCAAACATCTTATTGTGTAAGTTACAATGTACACTATAATGGTTATCAATCAAATATATTAAGTACTGTTGTTAGCTTTTTGCTTTTCTCACTCTGTTCTTGGTCATTTGTTCTGAAGGGCACATTATATCATTCTGCTGGTGGAGTCAATACTTTTTGGAGTGTTTGTCTTGGTGATATTTTATGACCAGGTATGCTTCAACATTATATAACTTAAGTGGGACCATATATTTTGGACTATATGTTGAAATTATAGAGTAGACTAACATTTTTATGATGTGTTCACACACAGCCACAGTGTTGTACTTACATACTTTACAGTGTTTGCATAGGAAGGCTGGAATAATATTATTCATAGGGATAGTTCACCTTAAAATGAAAATCATTTACACAACCTCATGCCGTTCCAAACCTGTATGCATAATTTTCCGTTGCAGAACATAAAAGAAGATGTTTTGATGATGTGTGAATACTGCTAACCAAAATGTTTGGCATCCAGTGTAGACAGCCTCGCTGATTATAATGGGTTTTAAATGCTTTTAATGCGTTTTCGCATTTCTCTTTTCTGGTGTAGAGATGGTGTAAAACTCAACACTATTCTCTTTTGGCTTTCTAAACACATTTTTGTCAAGTCTTATGTAATCTTATGTAATGTCTTAAGTCTTATGTAATGGTTGAAATTGAAAGGATTTTGGATGTGGTGATCTGTCATTCAAATTAAATGACCCATCATTGATCAGCTCTACCTCTAACTTGATTGTCTTTTTTTTCCATGAATAAACAAACACTGTTAAATTGCCTTGATTGATATTGTGAAGCCGCTTTGATACAATCTGTATTGTGAAAAGTGCTATATAAATATATTTGACTCATCTGTTTCTCTTGTTTTTGTCCTAAGCTGGTGTCCATTATAACAGATGAGACCCCTATCGAGCAGATGAGGAACAGACTAATGAAAGACAAACTCAACAACACCCACCCGACACACATTACACACACAAGAAAGCCAAAAATTGCATTGCTGAGGGAGGTTTTTGGACGTGGTGAGTTTAACTTTTTTCATCTAGGGGGTATTCCAGAAAGCAAGGTTAACTTACTGTCACATATACCCTGAACTCTCAGCTGATTAACCCTAATATTGCTTACTCTGGATATGTCGGTTTCAAAACTCCCGTGAAGAGTTAGTTCAATCAACCTCCTATTGGTAACCCAGGGTTAACTTCAGACATCGTCGTCAATGGATAACCTTAAAGGACAAGTTCGGTATTTTACAATTAAAGCCCTGTTTTAAGATCGTTTCTGATTAAATAGAATGGTTAAGATTGTTTTTTAGACAAATGCTGCTGTCCAGAGAATTTTTTAGATTCTGTGGTAGCACCCCCACACCTTTACAATGGTTGCACAGGTGCACAGGAACAATCCTTCATAAAACGCATAAAAACTTGAGTTTACAAAGACGTGAAACTCACCGAGTGGTCTAGGGTGTTCACTGATATGCTCACACAAAAATCGCTGCAAAAGATGCTTTCCAACAGGTGTTTTACCATTCGTTGTAAAACTGTTTTTCCGAACGCCTCACAACCATACAATCTTCCGTTGAGAGCTTGAATAATAGACACTCCAGCCCAGTTGGTGGCGATAATGCACCTTTGCCAATTGCAAGCAAACCACTTGTATAGTGTAGTGTATTGTATAGTGTAAAAAATGTAATTTATTCTTGTGTGGGGAAAAGCTGAATTTTCAGCATCATTCCTCCAGTCTTCAGTCACATGATCCTTCAGAAATCATTTGATTTGATGATTATAAATTTGATCAATTTAATGACTCCTTGCGGAGTAGAAGAATGAATTTTTAATACTTTTATTAAAATTAAACTTTTGAGTGGTAGTGCATATAATGGTGAATGTTTTTCCATTTGTATTTCTCTCATATTTACAGGTTCTATACTATGTTGGCTGTTCCCGCTCCATTCATCCCCCCCTTCTGTTGGCGGCATCAGTTATTCAGCACTTCCTGATTACAATGTGTAACACTAATCAGTTTTTCATCGGTTCCTTTGAACTTTCCATCAGTATTTCATCGTGTGTAGGACACTGAATATTATGTTACTGAGGTACAAATTTCAGCTATGAACGAAGAGTGCTTCTCTCTGTGTGAGTGTTTTTGTACACTGACTTTTGCTTAATGCTTCTCTATCTCTCTCACACACACACACTCAGATACAAATACGTTACAAAAGGGACCTCCTTTACAAACCTGGATCTTTTTCCTTTCTGTGTTTCATATAACCTCGGATAATTAATGGATTTCATTTTAATTTAATCATACATTTTATTGTGTGTTTTGGAGTACATGGACTGTACTCCATTTTACTTAAGGATTGTATATAAAGATGTATTTTATAACTTTCTGACAAAAGTGTTGCATTTTCAGGGTACTGGACTACTTGTTGAAGTGCTTGTTTTTATTTGTTTAAATGTTTTTGCTGTTTTATGGACAGCGTGAGGGATGTGTGTACATAACAGATGAACTTGTATATTGATAATGTTTACATTGATATTTATTGTAATTTAACTGTGGTTGTGTGTGTCTTTATGCTGCTCTTACTTATGTGAAGTAACAGACATCTTTTCATATTCTGGATTTTTATTTATTTATTTGCTTTAAAATAAGTTTAAGTGAAAATAAACCAGAAGTGTTACACGTAGATCATTGTGTTTTATTCAGGAAATCAACAATAACAATAGAGGCATTTAATCAAGTTATAGATGTCTTTTTTATGATTTGAAAGGCAGGAATGTTTTATGTGTGTGTTAAAGCTAGTTTTTTTTTTCTTTTTTCTGTGTATATATTTATATACAGTCATGACACAACACATGATCACAGAATAATAAAGTAAAGCTGTAATGAAAAGGATTTAGTTCATAAACTCGAATAATGTTTGACAGTCTCATACAGGTAGCTTTTTAAAAAGCTGTGTGTAGGGAACGGTGAACATTAATATTTCACTTGAAGCACAGCAGAGCACACCTAAATGAGCGAGAGCTAATTAAAACGGGATTATATTAAATTTTCAGTGCTTGTGAGCTCGTCGCTAATTGGCCGAATCCGCGATCACGCGCCTGTGTTGTTATTTTTGTTGTCGACTTCCTGGTAGCAGAAATCATGTGATTATGTGACGCTTCCTGGAGAAGCTTTACTTTCACGTATCACTTTTGCTCTTCGTGAGAATATTTACCAGCAGCAAACATCAACAGCGTGCTTTTTTTGCGGACATGGCTGACGGTGAGCGATCGCCTTTGCTGTCGGACAGTCGCGATGGAATGAGCGGGCTGTCACCGGTTGATGAGACCTACCGACCGCTGACCAAACCACAGAGTGAGTCAAACCTGATCCGCATTGACAGACAGTGGCTGTGCCTAAAACACTATTTAGCAGTCTACCTAAAGTACACAGCATGTGTGATGGGCATCGTAAGCTAAATTAAATTTAGTTGGAATGGAGCGCTCAATCGCACCTGTGCTGATCCACACGCTCATGTGCTGTGGAGCAAAAGTATTTAGGATCACCTTCTTTATCAATTTTAATGTGACTTATATACAGCGTGTCACTCTCAGATCAACATATGTCGATTATGTGATTTAATTTGCAGTAATCTGTTACCTGCCGATCCTAAACACAGCACAAGTAGATTAGAGTCAGATTAAAGTACACTTGAAACGCATGACTAACGTTAAAGGAATCATGATTTTTGCACTCAGGCTTATCAGTGTATCTGCCCATGTACTATTGACTATCTGCCTGAACATTAATAAACGTTTAAACTGACTAAATTAATGTTAATGTAATCATGTAACTATCTTCTACACAACACACAATGTTGCTCGTCTTGGTGAAAAAAAAGTTAAGATTAGTAATATCTTAACAAACAGAAAGTTATGATTAGTAATAATGAGGGGATTTATGTTGAATAAACCTTTTATTTGTGCTAAATATTCTATCTATCTATCTATTAATATTTTGTCTATACATATGTATTCAGATAATTTTAGGCTACTTACAGTAACATTCAAGTATTTCATAATTTATACATTTAAGTAAAAAATTAAGTTTAAATGTAATTTCCATAGTGTAAAGTCTATTATGATATGATAAGTCTGAAATTGATATTTTCTTTATTACAATAATTGTATTTATTTTTAATTTACAATAATTTATTTATTACAATAATTTAACTTATTATTCATTTACAATAATTATTTATTTAAATAAATAATTCATTAATTTCTTTTAGTTGTCACAGGCATACAAATATACACAGACATACAAAGAGTTATTTACAAATTATTGCATAATATTATTAGTAGGGCTGTCAAACGATTAATCGCGATTAATCGCATCCAAAATAAAAGTTTGTGTTTACATAATATATAACACAGTGCACTGTGTATAATTATTTTATATATACTGTATATAAATACACACACATGCATGTATATTTAAGAAAAAATATTAATTATATATAAAATATTTATATATAATATAAATTACATATAAATCTATATACAGTATATACATGAAAATATTTCTTAAATATATACAAGCATGTGTGTTTATATATATATATAAACACATATATTATGTAAACACAAACTTTTATTTTGAATGCTATTAATCGCGATTAATCGTTTGATAGCCCTAATTATTAGTAATAAATCTTTTTTTAACATTGCTTTGATAATGCATGCAATAAGAGAGGTAATAATATTGCAAAGCAAAGTCTCCAGTTCTGTATATTTCATTGTCATTTTTAGTGGCAGCATTACCAATCCTTTTATTTTCTCACTTTCTGTTTGCCTTACATCCTCTCTCATGCTCTCTTTCCATCCCAGATTTCCCAGCAGCGCCGTCAGCTCCTCCCTCGTTGATGCTGGGAGAGGCTCCTCCACCGTACTCCCCGCTGGGCTCTCCGGAGAGCGGCAGTGCTTCTGTCATTGGCTGCAGAGTGTGTCAGTCGCTTATTAGTGTGGAGGGCAAAATCCACCAGCATGTGGTCAAATGCGGAGTCTGCAATGAGGCTACAGTGAGTTAACAAGCACATCCGTTCAGCATTCCATTCCTCAAACATACATGCTGTTTGATGCTTTAGCGAGGTGATGAAAACTGAACTAGATTTAAGCGAAAGACCATGACATCACTTCCTGATTTATCTAGCCCATAAAGAATGCTCCAGCAGGAAAGAAGTATGTGAGGTGTCCGTGTAACTGTCTTCTCATCTGCAAAGTTACCTCGCAGAGGATCGCCTGCCCTCGACCTTACTGGTGAGAGAATTTATATTACCATAATTCACGATATATATATATATACTTTTAAAAAAATCTTATCAACTCCAAACCTTTGAATGGTAGTGTATATCCATACAACATGGTTAGATATTTTTACATTTTTGTCAGTGGATTTTAATAGATAAAGTCAAAGAAAATATTAGTTTTAATTATGAGTATTTTCAGACTGATCTCATGAAATGGCATATGTATGACACGCCAATTTGTATTTCCATTTTTGGCGTGTTATCAACACGCATAATCGCTTTTCAGCGTGTTTATGAATGCCGTTGACTTAACGTTACATTACTGTATATCCAACCCCAACCCCGTCCTTAAACCTACCCGTCACTGGGGTTAAAAAAGTAGTTTTGAAGCACTAGTTAAAAAAAAAACGTGCTGATAATTTACTCACCCCCATGTCATCCATGATGTCCACGTCTTTCTTTCTCCTTAGTCGAAAAGAAAGTAAAGTTTTTGATGAAAACATTTCTCCATATAATGCACTTCATTGGGAACCAAATGGTCCAAGGTCCAAGTGAGCGTTTCAGTCCAGCTTCAAAGGGCTTTAAACGACAGCAGACGATGAATAAGGGAACTTGAACCATTTGGTTCCCATTGAAATCCATTATATGGAGAAAATCCTGGAATGTTTTCATCAAATACCTTCATTTCTTTTCGAATGAAGAAAGAAAGATGTGGATATCTTGGATGACATGGGGTGAGTAAATTATCAGCAAAAGTTACTCCTTTAATACCATTTAGGAGTCTCTACCATCCTGGGAAAAAAATTAGCGCTCCCCTGATGTAGATCTACATTTTGCTTCGTTTCGCTCAGACATTTAACGGCGTGTACATACACGCGGAGTCACTCGGACATTTAACGGCATAGACATACACGCGGATAGCTCAAAATTCATATAGATAACACGCCACTTGACTTGAAAGTGACGTGTATGTTTACGCAAAAGTCATGATGTCATGTTGGTAATTTAAATGTTTTTTTGTGTGTATGTGTGTCTTTTTTGGGGGGATCAGTAAGCGAATTATCAATTTAGGTCCAGTTCATCTGGGCGCAGAAAGTCCGAATCCTCAGCCTAGCGGTGCCAGAGTTTCCTGCGGCCACTGTGCTAACACTTTTCTGGTAAGAATTTTAAGTTAACATTTCAAAGCTCTTTTTTTATTCATTTTGCCTTAAAGGAGTAGTTCACTTTTAAAAAAACCTTTGCTGATAATTTACTCACCCCCATGTCATCCAAGATGTCCACGTCTTTCTTTCTTTGGTCAAAAAGAAATTAAGGTTTTTGATGAAAACATTCCAGGATTTTCTCCATATAATGGACTTCAATGGGAACCAAACAGTTCAAGGTCCAAATGAGAGTTTCAGTGCAGCTTCAAAGGGCTTTTGTTCATTTTGATGAACGAGTTTGAACAGGAGAGTCACGTACGCTCATCACAGAACAGAGCAAGGCGAGCATTTGTGCTTATAAAACGTATTTATTTTTTAAATGACCGATCGTTTTGCTAGATAAGAACCTTATTCATCGTCTGGTGTCGTTTAAAGCCCTTTGAAGCTGCAATGAAACTCTCATTTGGACGTTGAACCTTTTGGTTCCCATTGAAGTCCATTATGTGGGGAAAATCCTGGAATGTTTTCATCAAAAACCTTAATTTCTTTTCGACTGAAGAAAGAAAGACATGGACATCTTGGATGACATGGGGGTGAGTAAATTATCAGCAAAAGTCTTTTTAAAAGTGAACTACTTCTCTAATACTGTATCTGTAACAATGTATTTCTGTTGTTGATTTAGTGGACAGAATTTACAGATCGGACATTGGCTCGGTGTCCACACTGCAGAAAAGTGTATGTTAAATGCTATCAATAGACCTTCTTCTGTTTAGTACCACACACTTACATTGATTACTAGTAAATTCCATTCCTTTCATCAATATAGCTCATCGATCGGCCAGAGGTACCCTAGAAAGCGGAGTTTGAGATGCTTCATGTTGTGTTTGATCTTCATCATAGCGACTGCGGGATTGATTGTAAGAATGAAAGCATTTTAGAGTTCATTATTTCAGAGAGTTGCCATTTCAGAATGCCTGGAAATATCTTTACTCTGTTCCCTTTCTTTCTCTGCAGGCTGGTACGTGGTTGAATGCACAGACGTATAAGGGGATTTATGTATCCTGGGTATTCTTCATTCTCTTTGTGCTAATCACTTTGATCAGAGCTCTACATTGGGCCTGCATGAAAATCAGTGAACCACTGCACAACTACTCATAGAAGAAAGCAATGGGGAGCAGGAGGTCGAGTCCAAGAATGAGTCCAAGTGAAAAAGAAAACTGAGCCAAAAGGAAGGTTAATGGAGAGATGCTCTGTCTAAATGGGTGAAGAACTCTCAGTAAAAATCCACATTTCCCCCTAAGTTCAATAGGCAAAAAAAAAAACATAATTATGATTCTAGATAATTAATTCAATTATTATTTTAATTCCTTTAGGGGTAAAAGTATAACCCACTTTTCACCCAAATAATTTAAATGTCAAACCCAATCTATCCACATTCCTAATTGGAACCCGCTTTCTAAACAATGCACACTTTAGTATTTCTGCATTGTCAGTAGGACAAGAACTTCTAGTTTAGTTGCAGAATCAGTATCTGCTGAAAGAGGCTTTTTTAGCCCTATGAATTGACTCTGACATCATTGTGGTTTCACACATAAATACAGAAGCATTATAGTTAGAATGAGACCGTGGTTGAATTGCTGACAGAACTCGTAAGTGCCTCACATGACGGTGTGCTCTGTTGTTAATAGCCAGTGACATTTATAATTAAAGCCATTTATAATTAAAGCAAATATTGTCATATATATAGAGGAACTGCAGATTATAGCTTTATTGAAAGTTGTAGGGTATGAATAAGAAAAAAGGAAATGAAAACACGCCGAAGCATTTGGAAGGTTTGGGGAAAAGCAAAAGCAGATCTATTCTTTAGAAAGTGCATTTCAATATCACAAATTATTGGAATGTGCTATAGATTGAATCATAGTCAATAATGAAGTTGATTTATTCTTTCAATGTATTTTATTGCTTTTCCATGGATATTATTCATTGAACCCTTCCCTTCCTCTTTTTCTATCAGCATTCAGCATATTTTACTATGTATCGTCACCCTCAAAAACAGCTTAGGCACCAAATTATGCTTTCCGTACTAACTAAAAAATGTTCACATCTGACACCAAGCAATATTACAAGAGATTCTAGAGATTTCTAATGATCCGTGTGTTACTTTTGTTGATGCTGTTTTTTTTTTAAAATCAAGCATTGCTGATTATTATATGTACCTGCCTGTGGTTATTTAGTTATATAGCTGCATTAAAACCTTCTACCTTGTATGCCATTAATAATTGTAGCATTACCTAGTAGATTACAGGCAGAGATTATTATTAATTTTGACTTAATCTGCGTAAACTTTCAAATGCTGATGAATGTAAATATTCATCAAGGAGCATTGCTGTGATTAACTTATATCTTCACTATCAGAAAACAAATATGCTAAATTGGTACCTTTAGGGGTACAACAGCCCTTGTCACTGGGGCAGTACTTTGTATTACCCCTAAAATATGTATATTAGTACCTTAGAGTAGTAATATGTACCCTTAAGGTTTTCCTAGACCCTTTAGGCAAAAATAAGGTACAAAGATGCCCCTTTAAGGGTTTTACCCCACAGTGACATGGTGTTGTACTCCTGAAGGTAATTTTTTTGCAATTGTAAACCTGTGCTGACCAAACGCATTGAATCATTTTTAGCTGAAATGAACTCTTTGCATTGCACTCTTTAATGGAGTATACAGATATATATTAATACTAATACTATAATACTTATATCTATTGAAGTGCAGAAGTGACCAGTAAGTTTTTTATTTTTTGTTGTGTTAATTTGTTTACATGATTGTGCAGTTGTACTGTGCATTTACTTGTTTAATTTTTGTTTAAAATGTGTATATATATATATATATATATATATATATATATATATGTAGTTGCACTACATTTTAACATGGTAAATCCCATCTTTGTCATTGTTGATCATTTTTGTATGTTCCTTTGTAACAGTTCCTGAGTATTTGTATGTGTTAGGGGTTCTGACGGTTTACAAAATTATGACAACAGATGTAATATAATAAAAAAACTAAGGTAAAACTCATTTGTAGGATTTCCAAGCTATAGCAGTGATTCAGTGAGTATAATGTTAAGGTTAATCAAATGTTGATGCTCTTTTTGGCTAAATTCATTTATTAATTTTATGGAAAGCAACTTGCAGTGCATAGATTCAAGGTATTCATTTTTATCACTTCATGGATTAGATTTTGAGCTACAGCTCAAATAAAACTGAATGAGAATGCCCTTCAAAAATAATGCTAGTACAATCTGTTTTGTGATGGTTGTCACGTAATGCGTGATTATCATTATTTATTACATATGGACTTTTTTTTTTGCTGTGACTCCTTTTAGATCTGACTGGGTGTACTTTCTTTTCAGAGGACTATGTTCAGAACATTTTCAAAAGGTTATATGTTGAAAACACCAAAGAAATTATTTAAATAAATCAATTTTAGATTTGTATTTATTAGCATGCACTTTAAGCAAAAGGAAATGTGTGCAAGTGATTATCTTTGTGGGCAGATAGAAGTTGAGTATAGGCTATAGTTATACTTAAAGTGCAACCTTGTAGTGCTAAATGAACTTGACTTTGCAAAAAATTGCATACCTAATTTATTGACAAAGTTTCACATCCTTGCAAAAATGTTTTAAATACATATCACTGGTAGCACAAATGTCAAAGAAAGAATTGATATTGTTTTCCCAATCCCATTACACAAACATCTGATAATCTGTTTTAATTTTTAGCTAACAGAATCCATATTTATTAGTTACACATGTTTCCTGAAAATTAAGATTTACCCAGAATCACCACAGAATGATTAGTCACTCAGTACATGGTTAGTACGTTTTATGAAATAATGACTAATTAAAGGTATAGTTTACCCAAGACACTTTAGTCATCGTTTACAGAACCTCATGTTTCAAATTACATAGGCTACAGCACAGTTTTGAATGAAATCTTGGCAAGTCTTCACATGTCTGATTTATTTGTTGAGTCTTTTGACTCAGATCTTTTCAATCAGTTGATTCACTAAAACCATTCTAAATGATTCATTCAGGTGATTGATTCAGTTCATCGTTTTTTTCTTGTACTCCACAGAAGAAAGCCAAGCAGGATTGGATTGACACGGGAGTGAGTAAACGATGACAGAATTTCCGTATTAGGTTGAACTATACATTTACATAAAAAATACAACAAAATTTAACTAGCCTTGATAATACCTGGTATTAAAATGCGTTTTGGTCGATTGGATCTCAGGTAGATGAGGCAGACACATACCTGTTTACACTCGTGTATGTCTCTTTAGTCCATTTTCAACCACTTCTGTACAGATTTATTTAAAGGGAGGGTCTATGGGCGGGTAAATGTATGGGTTTTTCAGATCTTTCGATGGTGACGTTTTTTGTGGGCGGAGCTTAGGTGGAGGCACAGGCAGAACGATCGCTCAGGCCGCTTCACTAAAGCTAGTTAGTTAGCAAGTATTGTTAGCTTGTTTTTTAACAATGACTGGAGAAAATCAGATTTTATATTAATGTGTAAGGTCACTCAGTGTCCAGGACCGCAATTGTTATTTCCAAAACTTATCTTTAATGGACTGAACCGGCTGTAGCCATCTACACACTCACTCAATGCATGGTCTACACACTCACTCAATGCATGGACGATCTGACAGGATTCAGTTACCTCGGGTGAGTGGCCTGACTTCTACACCTACCTTATAGAGAAACCGATCACAAAGAGAAACTGAGGGCATATAAATCTTTAGATGCCTATATGGTCCTGTACAAGACTTGTGTGTATTGGTGCGTTCACGTCACGTGCTATGGAAAATAGGATATGAACTGGTAGTGTCTTGCGTTCAAGTGCTTTTGTTGTCGTAATATGGTAAAAAGATGGAGATCCAGACCTGTTATTTAGTTAAAACTATTTTAGATTGCTTAAGTCATCTGCAACAGCAAGAAAATGATTTATCAAAACTCAAAAGGTAAATAATATGCTGTATATTTTCTAGATCATGAATAGTATATATTTTTTACCATTCACGACTCTTGCGGTGCTCTCCACCATTTTGAAAAGATCAAAGGTTATCTCATCTCAGCAACTCATCCATCAAAATATTCTACAAGTTGCCCAGTGGAAAATACCACTTGAGGGGGTATTCATGTGCATTTTCCACGTCGGCTTTTGGTATTATATAATCTGCAACTCTGCCGAGCTAGCGCAGAGACGACAACAATATAAAGAGTGACATTACAGTGCGATTTTAATGATGTGAATATTTTCTAGAAATAAAAATTCCAGATACAGCATATTCATTTTTCATCAATTCTTGCACCAGACAACACAACAAGATGACATTTAATAATAGTAACAACAATGTAAGCTCCTTATTATGTAGCCGAATCTGTGCTGGTTTGTATTGGCCGCCTCCAGTTTTCACTTTGTTTTGCCGCCAGCTAGCGCCGTGACGGAACTGTGACGTCGGTGCAAAAGGGGTATAGACACGGAGAAGACGGAAAACCACACAGAGCAGGATGCTTGATGATTTTGTTTCTGCTCTGATAGCCGTAAGACCATCCAAGTGTAAATCCCATCTGGCTACAGCATCCATTAAAACAGTAGGCAGAGAGTTGTCTTTTCAAACACATTCAACCACATTTTATTTAACATCCTCCACTTGTGATCCGATCGACCAAAATGCATATTAAAGGTGCAGTGTGCGATTTTTAGCGGCATCTATTGGTGAGTTTTTGAATTGCAACCAACAAAAGTTAGGTTGTCTGACAGGAAAAGATGTCAGCGTCGGAGACAGCAGAGAGTAGCCAGTTAAGCAATGAGGTTTCTTTACAAAGATACATTAAGAAATTATGTTTACTTTATTATTCAATAAAAAGATATGTTATTGCAAAATTAATTGTTACTTACTTGTTCATCAATGCGTCATATTCGCTGACTTTAGCTAACTTCTTTGCACGAAGAACAACATAGTGACAAAATGTGCTCTGTAGTAGTTTGTCCGTTTATGGCTACTGTAGAAACATGTCGGCGCAATTTCAATGTTAGGAGATCAGTGTAGATAGAAATGGTTCATTCTAAGGTAATAAAAACATAACGGCTCATTATTTAAGGTCTTACACCACTGAAAACATAGTTATGTATATTATATTGCATTTCTGTCTACAGATCCTCCTAAATATTACACAATGCAACTTTAATACCAGGTGTAAGCAGGGCCTTAGATCTGAGATGCAAATTGACTTAAAATACTTTTTTCTTATTTACAGAAACATTACCTTACTGTATGTCACCTGATTAATAATGTGCCCCTCTGTTTTTGTTACTACCACACACTCAAAAGGTACAAAATCACTGGTGTAGTACCCTTTTTGGCTTTTAGGGCTAAATGGTGTACCTTTGGAAAGTGCCCCATGACAGATTTGTACCATTTCTTCTGAGAGTGCAATATCTACAGTACTTAACAGTTTATTTTATTTGTTGAGCCCCATCATTCAAGGCCAAAATTCTAAGCATGGCTACTACAACTTCATTACCTTAACAGTGGTAATAGTTGTGTTTTCCTGATCATTTGGGCAATCCGAGTCCTCTTCCTCTCCATCCTCTTCATCCAATTGGAGGCTTCCAGAAGAGAAGCGCATGCGTGCCAGTGGTCCAGAACGTACCACTTTACCCAATGCAGGAAAGTATGGGTAGAAGGTGTCTGAATCCGAATCACTATAACTACCTGTGCCGAGTACACATAAAGAAGTGGGTCTTTCCGGGAGAGGGGCAGGACTTAGAGGAAGGTAGGTGGGCCTGGCAGGAACGTGGTGTCGAGAAAGATGTGGATAATATCCCAGTGGGCGATACTCGGATGCGTATGCAGCGGCGTTTGAGGCAAGAGTAGGTCGCTGGAATTTGAAGTCCGGTTGGCTTGAGGCTCGGCGCGGCAAGCCAGTCTGAAAGGTGGAGTCGTCGCTGTAATGGCCTGCTTCCACTCTATTCAAGTCCAGCTTCCTATTCAACCCAGGCCTCAGCCCTAGGCCTCCTCTGGGGTACAGTCTCGATTCGGCTAATCCCAGGCCAGCAGGACGGAGCCTTTCCTGCTGCTTCTGAAGTTGTGGCGACAAGCAAGAGGACGGCAAGGACGAGTGGGCAATTTGTCTGGGAAAGTATTGCAGAGGCAGATGGTTGTGATGGGTTTGAGGGAGGCGGTCTAGGGAGGAAGACGTATGGTCTTGCAGTAGGTAAGGGTGAGTGGTGAGTGGGAAAGTGGGCAGCACAGGGTGGAACTGGAGGTGGGGTGCGTTAGGGTAGAGGAGCACGAGATGCTGGGCGTTAGGAGACAATCGTCTCTTTGCCTTCTGTCTCTGGGCCCCTCTACCATGATGTTCTACTCCTGATGTAGACAGGGAACGAAGCTTGGGCGAGGCAGAGTTGCTTGAGAAGGCAGGATTTCTTGCCAATGCCCTGGATCGCTCAGGTTCATTAGTGAACATGACTTCCATCGCAGATAGGCTGCGCTTTGCTACGCCTGTCTGTTCACTCTGTTGCCCAGCAACAGCTTGGCCAGGAGATAGATGCTGGTACAGCTATGTGAGAAAGAAACATGAAGACATGTGGATTCAAATACACATCTGAAATGTAAGAAACAAGTACAATACCTGCATAGAGACATCAGTCAGTATGTCAGGAGAGGATCTGCACTGTCGAGTGTCATATTCAGACTTGCAGTAACTTCTGAAAAAAAGTGCAAAACGGGCTGTAGATGCAATGAAAAACAAACACGTACAGCACTGTCCAATTTCCCAAAGAATCTATTCTTGTAACTTATGCCTGCTTTAGACTGCGCAATTTCATCAATCCTACAAGATCATTGCAAATCACACTGTACGACATAGATCTTATAAACTTGGGTATGACATGTATGTAGACTGTACGATGCAAGTTAGAATAAAAGACTAACACAACATCAGCAGCAAGTGGTAAACAAATAGAGCAAAAATAAATCACACTTTGGCAATTGTGTTTTTATGTGCGCTGAACAAAGAGGAGAATAGGGGCGTGGTCATGGCTAGGGAAAAGAGGCCAACTTGTCATGGCATGCCAATTTTTGACCACAGAAATCACCAGGATAGGTCGTCTTTCATCTGAGACAGCCCAAAATCAAACAATGTGTACCAAGCATTAAAGGGGAAAATGTCAAAACGCATCTCAGTTTAATGTTCAGAGACAACTTTAAACCAATTGTAGGTTGACTTTCCCAAAATACTTTGTTGGATCCTGTCCCAAATGGTTTGCTTGATGTGTACTTGTGGTCTTGTGGACTTGGAGTGGTCATCATTTGTCTGTCCATGACGTTGTAGGTTTCAGAATCGTGCTTAGTTTGAGTGGCTCAATATACTGTAGTAACGTTGACCCAACCAGTGGTGTTAGTTAAGGCTTATTGTATAATCAAATAGAAGACTGCAAGAGTGTTTGGGAAACCATTTTATATAATTGCTATTACCTTTAGTCCCACTAGTGGCACAGGAAAAAAAATCCCCCACAAAATTTATGCAGAAACTTTTTCTCAACAACATCCAACATAACATCTTACCTTTCAAAAGGCAAGTGTTTCTTGCCTCCAGAGCCCACACACTCAAGAAGTTGCTTCTGTGTCCTGCCACTACAATACCACAACCGAAAGCAGAAAAAAAAAATTAGAAAAGAAAATACAAGACAATTGTTGCTGAGGTCCATGGTGCAAAAAGAATCTCAAGTCTTGTTCACACAGGAAGTGATTTTATTGAATATTTGGATTCCCTGCCACTAGATGTCCTAATATTATTTGTGGATTGCATTACTGGCCAGAGCTTTTGAAAAACTAATCAGTAATGGGCTGGTATACACAACCATTCAAATATTTGGGGCTGGTAAGATTTTGTAATATTTTGAAAAGAAGTTTCCTTAAGCTCACCAAGGCTGTTTTGTTTGATTTTTTTGTTAGATTTTTTTTTTCCTGGATTCTTTGATGAATAGAAAGTTCAAAGGAAGCACATTTATTTGAAATAGATTTTTTAAATAACACTGTAAAAGTATTTACTGTTATTTTTTTATCGGTTTAATATTAATAAAAAGATACTATTCTATTTCTACAATATTTTTCTCATGCAGTTTTCTGCTGAAAATGAATGTTTTCCTGTGTATATAAAATCCAGCAGTCCATGATGACCTGAACAAAATGAATGTTTCTCATTATGAATCAATCTAGCTCAGATGAATCAATTTAGCACAGAATGCTGACAGTTTCTGATACGGTTTTCTACACCTAATTTTTCATCCATGTGGGCAGAGACACATCATATAGAAGAGCAAAATCCCTCACTGACATTACCTCCATCTAGCCTTCACTTATGTCGCCACATTGCTGCTCATTTGCATCAAGTTAAACTATTCTCAACTTTATCACTACACACATGTAATGTCGCCTAGTTGTGTGTTTAGAAAGAAAGATTAGACTGCTCGTTTTAATATCTTCATTACACACTCTTAGAGGCTTTATGGAAGATGCTTAGTAAGGATCATAGCATAAAGTATTAGACAACTGGGGCTTCTTATTGCATTCCACATATCTAAAGTTGTTCTCTCTCACACACACATACCTGTATCTGAAACTGGATCCTTTGCTGGACAGAATTGACTTTTGATGTGACTTGGGCTCCTCCGCAAGTCTGAAGAAAGCGTGATACTCCACACACATTTTCCAAAACGCCTTACACACATCTCTGCTGGCCATGGAAAATTCAACAGTGTCCCTCCTCGATGGCTAAAAGTTAGAGTTGAGTGAATGACAGATTAAGATTGTTAAAGCATTTGCGATTTTAACAACTTTTTTTATGCTTTCAGATGCTATCTTATTAGAAACACATCCCAATACTATTGACTGAATACTAAATAATAATAAATAATACATTTTCCCTTCCAGTAGCTCAAAAGTAGAGGCCCCCGCTAGCAACATCAAGGTCATGGGTTTGATTCCCAGGGAATGCATGAACTGATCAAATGTGTACCTTGTAGGGCTGTCAAACGATTAATCGCGATTAATCGCATCCAAAATAAAAGTTTGTGTTTACATAATATATCACTGTGTGTAATTATTATATATATATATATATATATATATATATATATATATAAATACACACACATGCATGTATATTTAAGAAAAAAATATTATTTTATATAAAATATTTATATTTATATATAATATAAATTATATATAAATCTACATACAGTATATACATGAAAATATTCTTAAATATATAAAAGCATGTGTGTATATTTATATATATAAAATAATTATACACAGTGCACCCACATATATTATGTAAAAACAAACTTTTATTTTGGATACGATTAATCGCGATTAATCGTTTAACAGCCCTGAATGCAGTGTAAGTTTCTTTTGCATGGAAGTCTCTGCATACATGCAAATGTAAATGTATTGGTGCTGAATATTTATGAAAATAAACAAAAGTTGTGCATCTGTTCGCTTTTTTTTTATCTGGTTTATCTTTCTTTTCTTTTCTATCACATTGTTGTCTCTCATGATAAATTGCTTCTGCTGTTCCTCATTTGTATGTCTGCCAGCTTTGGATAAAAAAAAAAACATCTGCTAAATGAATAAATGTAAATCTATAAGTCAGCACTAATGCTGCAGATATAATATATGAAGAGAAATATAATTTCAAGTGTTGCAGAGGAACTATTTAATTCTTTTCCCCCCAGTTTCCAAACAGTGGTCGTAATGGAGGGATAGTTTGTGTCTCACCCCGGTTTCAGTGTGGAGTTTGATGAGGAAATTTTTCCTCTTGAAGCTCAGCTTACGGATCTTGGCCCAGCTGAAGGTATTGATCTTTGTGTTTCCCTGATTACGGTATAAAATTTGTAAGAGAGAGTTTATATTTTGTTGATGTGCATTCTAATGCGTCTTTGAAATTGTGTGTAAATCTTAATTTAAGTTTAAGCCATATTTTTATACAGTACCTGAAAAACAAGTACCCCCATATGTGTGACAGCGAGGTTGATTCTCATGTCTTCTCCATCATGGGCAGGGTGAGGGCGGATCCCGTACATGTCCATTTTGCGGGCAACCTCCAGCAAATGCACATCTGATTCAGCAGGAGTGTGACTTCTGTCACCAAAATCCAAATTAAGTTAATGGACAAAATTGTTGATGTTCAAGTAGACATCTGTCATACATTATAAGAGCTGCATGTTAATGGAAATATCAATTTGGTATGCTCGTACGGTGTGTAGCTGTATGTTACCTGTGCTTTTTGTGAAAGCGAATGATTTTGTGGTCTAAGTACTCCTGGTTTGGCACATATTGTTTATTTTCAAGATGATGAGCATCTAACTCGTCATCATAATCCCCAATTTCTGCTACAAAGGTGAATAGAGAGGTAAAACCGTAAAGTGTATGCGATAATTAAACTGATAAAATTGGGAAGCTTTGTATTTTTCAGGCATGTAAACTTTCAACGAGATACTAGGAGCTACCTTGCAGTATATGAGAGACCAGCAGGGCGGCGCTGTTGTCATTACAGGTGAGGCTGCCGTTTGACAGATCCTGTTTGATCTGAAGGGCAAACAGATACCTGTATAAAAGAGGCAGCAGTCAGACTGAACTCATATCACCTATTACCATCTATATATCAGTCTATTTATCAGATAATCATGTGCTTGAGTTTTACCTGGTTAAGCCTCTCTGCAGTTGTCCTGGGTCAGGAGGGAAAAATTTCACTATAAAATGGAACGCCACATCACTGGTATCTATGGAAAGTACACAGTCTTTTGTGACCCATAAAAAAGCATTAAACCTACTTTACTAATAATTTTTAATATTAACTAAAGGCAAAGGATCAAGTGGACAGTGATAGTAAATGGATAAGCATTTGGGATGGTAAATAAAAACTTAAAAAATAAAATTAATTAGTAATTGGTGAATACTAACTTTTGAGACCACATATTCATAGGAGGGGATACAGAAAACATCTAGAAAGTGGGGTAAGATGTGCCAGGGGGTACATTCACAAGATACAGTATTATGTATTTTTAAAAGTATGTTCATTTGCAAAAAAAAAATGTTGCTGACATGCAGCATTTTTAGCTGTTCGTGGAGTTTTCTACATGGCCAGTATAATGAGTGCTATGTCAAAGTGTTTTGGGGGAAAGTTTTAGATTTCTAAAGAACTTTTTTAAAGATGCCCTATTTATGGCCCATGCAGGTGGTACAGTGGGTAGGACTGTCCCCCAATAGCAAGGTGGTTGCTTGGTTCGAGTCGCTGTGGCTGCGTGGGTTTCCTCCATGCTCCAGTTTCCCCCACAGTCCAAAAACATGCATAAGTGAATTGGAGAAGCTAGAAATGTGTCCAATGGTGTGTGTATGTGTGTGTAAGTCCCAAGCGAAGCCATGTAATGGGGTTGGGGAAGACCCTGTGACCTATCCTGGAAAAATCACTGCCAAGTAAATTGACGGACAGTCTCTCGTGTATGGCAAGTGAAGACCCATAGAATCACTAAGAGTTGGGTGCAATTGAAATAGCTCATGACTGAATGATTTTATGGCCTGATGTTGCAGATGCTCTATTCTAATTTATATAGATAGCAGATATCCTAAAGTGTATTAATTTGACCTCTAAATCCCTTTTCCTTGCCAATAAAACTTGACTAAAATTGGCACACCATTCACCAGTATTATAAGTTATAAGTTAACATGCATTTGCTGAACAAATTATCAATTGAAAATTAATCAAGTGGACCTTGACACAAGACAACTACTAGAAAACTTACTTTTGATTTGCTTAGCCACTGGTTTCAGGAGTTCAAGCCAGACCTGTATAATAAACATTAAAACATGATTTAATTTCCTATAATTGAAGCATACAGATCTCCATTTGACAAGTGTGGATAAAGCAACTGCTTCAAGGGACAGTTCACCCACATATAAAATGCTGTCGTTGTTCAACCTGATGTAGCTCGGTATTTTCTACAGACTGAATTTATCAGTCATTATTCACTGATAATAAGATCAATTTTGATTTGTGATCAACTCATTTAGATCAATTTGTGAACCTGATTTACCCATTAAAGGGATACTCTACGTTTTTTCATATTAAACTATGCTATTCCCTTAACTAAGACAAGTTGATACATACCTCTCTCATCTCAGTGTGTGCACTCAATCGCTCTGGCGCACGAGACACTTTCCCAGTTCATTCAATATGGGCCAAGCAGAGAAGCGACCAAACACCTCCACGTTTTCCCTATTTAAATACAGTTACACGAGTAACTGAAGTGTTCCCAAGCACTTGCTGAGATATTTGGCCATACATTATAGTTATCCACTTTACACGTTTATAAAAGTTCAACGTTTTATTTTGTGTCACCACCTTGGTCAAATTACACTGCTCGAGTAACTGTATTTAAATAGGGAAAACGTGGAGGTGTTTGGTCGCTTCTCTGCTTGGCCCCTATTGAATGAACTGGGCTAGTTAAGTGCGATCAAAGTGTCTCGCGTGCCAGAGCGATTGAGTGTACGCACTGAGATGAGAGAGGTATGTATCAACTCGTTTTAGTTAAGGGAATAACATAGTTTAATATAAAAAAACGGTGGAGTATTCCTTTAAAAAACTTACATTCAAAAGGTCATCGCTACTTCAAAGATTTCAAAATCTTCAATGAGCAATGGCTATAATTTCTGTAAGTTCGTCATGGAAAGTTTATTAGACTTAAAATCTCAAAATATTGCGTGAATCTTATGGGTCACTTTTGAAAATGTCTTTTCAGTGTTCAAAAAGGGTGAGCAAATGATGACAACATGCTTTTTTTTAGGTTGGTGAACTATTCCTTTAAGGGCTAGAGACTAAGTCTGCTGTTTATGTTCAAACTCTGTTATTGACATCATTGACAGGTCAAAGGACTCACATAGCTGCCGGTGTGGTGGCGGAACTCTAGGCCAAAGTACTCCTTCTCCAGCAGCTTTACATGACCACACACCTTATTGAAGAAATCAGAACCCAGAATCTTTCTCTGCAGGAAGATGAAGAAAAATAAGCCACAGAATACTTAAACATCGTACATGACATTTTATACTGGTCTCAGTGCAGCCTGCATTAATGTTACTTTTGATTGATGTGACTGCAGTGTTACTGAAATTACTCCTCGGATTTGCTTCGCTATTACTTCATGCGGGTGTTAATGAGATGGCGATGCCATTTGAGCAGAATGTGACCGTTAGAGCAACTTTCTCTGGTAATTGAATCTGCGGCAACTGAACTGCTCAAACAGAATTATGGGGAAGTCAGATGCTCCCTGAGTCAGCCTCAAAATACAGGGTTGCTATCTGATGAGTGTGTTTGTGGGCACATATGTGTGTGAAGATGTGTCACTAAACCCTGTATTTACTGTGACAGCGGGGCATATAACCTCCCTATTATCTTGTCAAAGACAAGGAACAAAAGAAGATAGAGGGATAAAGTCTACAGGAACAAGTGTGAGATGGAGAGGTTGAAACATAGACCACAGTACAAAAATAAAGAAAGATCTGTGAATTCATGACAGGGTGAAGTTACGTCAGAATATATATACTTTTATGTCTGAAGACATGATGCTTTAATGTTTTTTAATGTTTGTAATGTTTATTCAGGACAAATGCTATTTTCGACAGTGAATCATCATTGAACATGCACTTTAATCCAGTGTCTGGGAATACAATCAAATAATTTTGCTATTTATACGCTATTATAGTATTTATTAATAATTAGCTTTTGTTTTTGTCTTTTTGTGTTTAAAATTTAGTTTAGTTTTTATTAATTTGTGCTTTTGTCGTTTTACTAAAACCTAAACTTATTTTATTTCACTTAGTTGCCAAAGCAATATTCCTGTTTTTCGTTTAAGTTTTTCAAGTTGTATCCTCTATTTATGTTTTATTGTATTTCAGATTAACTTTAGCTAAGGAAAATGCCTTTTAATAGTTTAAGTTAACGACAACACTAGTTAGTCTGTATTGAAGTATTTTCTAGATGCTCTGGGTGGTTGGTTACCAAAACAGCAGATATATCCCTCTTTTTATGTAAATATACAAGATATTTGACCTGTTTTTAAGTCTTTTCTAGCACAGCTCTCATCAACAAGCCTCACAATTTAAGCTAAGGTACCATTCATGTCATTTTTTCATGTCATCATTATACGCATTAAAAAAAACCCATAAACCTCAGTATTAAAAAACAATAATAGCAAGCACCACTAAACTGCTGAAATTACATTCTGCTGACCAAATATCGATTAAAACAACGGATCATCTCTCTACAACCTGACATCTTTCTCTCTGATTTTTTGTATTTTTCACTGCCTCTATAGGCTACTAATTGCCTATTTTGCCCGAGGGTGTAGGGGAACGCTGGCGTGCTCTCTGGAATGAGGCCAGTACAAGCTTCTGTTCAGTGTAGGCCATGATATTTACCCCTATTCAGACACACACATGCCTCACGGGCACTAACTCTCTCACTCACTCATTCACTGATTCACTCACTCTCTTTCCTTTTTTTCGGTCCCTCTCCCCACCACCCTGACTTTATATCTCACCTGCTTTTTTCTGACTGGTAGGACAAGATTGTGCTGTGCAAAAGCAGTGAAAACCCCCAGGCACGTACACACACATACACACAGAGCATCCCCCATGAAGCAGAAGCAGATAATGGGACATGAAATGATGCTCCTTTACAAGCAAAACACAGAAAAAGTGAGAGAAACCCTTACACACACACACAAACTACAAGAATGATGTGTTGATAAAGAATATGGCCTGTTTTAGAGATTTTGAAATTAGGAAACTTTGATTTAAAAGAGATGCATTATTGCACATCAACAATATGTATTGTCCAATCCAATTATTTAATAGACAGGGAAAGAGACGTTACAAAATGTAATAAGACCAGGCTTGTTGTCACACTTTTTACTTCACTGAACATTTCACAGGCTAGGGTTATTTTTGAAAGCCATTGCCAAATAGCTCTCAGTCTCAGGCACAAAAAAAGCTACACTTTTATTTCCCATAACAATACAGTTCACTGAACACATTCTGTCTCTTTCTGACAACATGCCTGAATAGAGTTGTCACACTATGGGGTAAAATTTAAACTGCAAAACAATTTTGAACAATTGATCAAACATAGGCCTAAGAGGAAAATGTAACATACAGTATATCAAACTATTATATGGGCAACAAGTAAGTATATGTAGCAATTTACAAACCTGACATTTATGAAAGCACAGATTATTTTCAGTTAAAGTCAGTTAAACCTATGTCTGAATGCATGCCACTGTGGTTTTATTATTCATTTGTTTAAACAATATATATATGCTATTGAATGTAGGTTTGGACACGCATGATTTTAAAAAGGTGTTTGAAACCAGCATACAAAATCATTATAGAAAACCCGTTTGCGTACCTTATAGTTACCTCAGACAGAGTCCACTATGACAACTTGCCCCGTTCTGTATAAATATATATTATTTCTCACCTCCACTTCGAAAACTCTCTCGCTGTCGTCTAAGAAGATGACGCGTAATCGCAGTTTCTCGTTCTTGTTCTTCTTCCGCGCAGCTGTCCTATTGACAGGTGTCTTCAGCAACTCGAACTTATCGCCCATCTTCTGCACCTTTAGGCTTTAAACACCACACTTTTTTCAGGACAGAGTGTCCATAATGTGGATCATTATCGGTTTGATGCTGTGGTGAGGGAGTAGCGCGCGGCGGTCTCGTGACGACTGTTCACGCATCCTGTTCTCAAACTGAGCAGCATCAGCAGCACTACTGTATCTGATCTCAGTGCAGTGAATACACCACACGCGTTACAATCAAATATTGATCAGAAATACTGAAAAACTGTAATATAGTAATATTGTAAAATATTATTGCAATTTAAAAATAATGGTTTTCTATTTGAATATTTTAAAATCTCATTTATTTCTGTGACGCAAAGCTGAATTTTTGAAGTCCTCAGTGTCACATGATCCTTCAGAAATCATTGTATGTTGATTTAGCCTATTATCAATGTTGGAAACAGCTGTGCTGCTTAATATTTATTTTGTAACCTGTGATACTTTTTTTTTCAGGATTCTTTGATGAATAAAAAGTTTCGTTTAGAAATCTTTTTTAAACAATGCTATACACTACTGTTCAAAAGTTTGGGGTCAGTACATTTTTTTTTTTTTTAAGAAATCAATAGGCTACTTTTATTCAGAAAGGACGATTTAAATTGATAACAAGTGATAGTAAAGATTTATATTAGAAAATATGTTTTATTTTAATAAATGCTAATAATTTCAGCTTTTTATTCATCAGCTTCATATCACGTGTTCCAAAAAAATAAAAAAATAAAAAAATTATAGTTATAGTTTCAGATCAGCATATTAGAATGTTTTTTGAAGGATCATGTGACACTGAAGACACAAGGTAGCCTAATGGCTAATGGAAATTCAGCTCTGCATCACAGAAATGAATTCAATTTTAAAGTTGACATTTATATCAAATAAATGTAGGTTTGATGAGCATTATAAACTCCTTTCAAAAACATTAAAATAGTAATGTTTCCAAACTTTTGACCAGTCATAAATAATAAATCTAAAAAAGTAATTAAACATTCCTATTTTTAATGTTAATATAATAGTTTTTTGTTTTTATTAGAACTGGTTTACTCAAAGTTCAGATACTGAGCTAATAGCGGGGCATGTTGTCACAAAAGGTCAACCAGTGACCTGTTCATAAACCCTGAAACCCTGAAATTTTAAATTGAGGGGAAAAAAGTGACACCTTTTTTATTCCGTACATTGTTTTAGGACTACGCAATGTTTTGATAGCATTTCGTAGCATCTATCTCCGTTTTGCGACAGTTTGAGGCTACACAACACAACCGTGACGTCTGGTTCAGAAAAATCACGTCGGCAGCAACTCGTCGTATACGCCATGAGATGGCAGTATTTCCTAATGAATTCCTAAGCAACGACCCAGGTAAAAACAAATATTGTAGCAACTACAACTGTGTACTTTAATCTGCAGTGCAAATAGCTATGTGTGCGATGACAAAGACATCAAATAACTAATTAAGACATGTCAACCCCTCTTAAAACATCGCACAACTGATCTGTTTCTCTCGTCGTCCCTTTGTGCTCTGTATTCCTCGGCAGGTGAATGTAATCTCTTGTTTTGATACGGCGGAGCGGAACCTGTAAGAGGAGCTGAAGCCGGAGCTCTGCTGACCAGCTGCTACTGTTCCATCACACATCATCATCATCATCATCATCACCGGCCCTGTTTGATTTTCCAAGCACCTGCCTCTCAACCAGTGTGTTTTCCACCGTGTAGTCTATTCTGAGGCCCATGATGGACTGCGGCTGAGAGGTAACGTTGAGATATCCTGCAAACTCGACTTTTAATTTCTGTTCTGGTTTGTACACAACTTCCCCCACTCACACAGACACACACTCACATTTTACTAAAAACAATTGGGTCTATTTTTAAAAGCAGAAGGTGGTCTATATTCTAAAATCAGAGAGATAAAAAAGTTTAAAAATATATTGATGTGCTATCATAATCAAAAATAGGCTATTGTAGCAAGCAACAAATAGTGTCCGAGTATAAATGACCCACCATGCATGTGGATGTCAGTTAGGGTTTGATGAAAGCTGGTTAGCAATATTTGCTGGTGTCAAAAGGGTCAACTCACTTACAAAGGACTTCATTTCAGCCTGCAAAAATGATTAGCAGCGGCTATTTCCAGTAGATTCTACCCCATTTACTCTGACTGAGTGAAAAAAAAATTGATAGATTCTATTTACACTCTTAAAATAGCAGAATTTTCTTTGCGAAAAGTGTAAATAGTAGTTAGATGCTGTTTGTGTTTACTTATAGTGGCAGATAGTCCTACTATTTGAACATCATTGCTGTACCTTAAATGGTATGCAATACAGTAATAACAAGATTGTAAATTATTATATTTATGCTGCTTTTTCTAAATTTGAAAAGCGGCTCAGAACAGTGGATGGATTTAGTGTAAATAGCATCTGCCAACAAGTCGGGCTGTTTAAATACACTCCATTATGGCCATCATATAATAGGCCTATATTTCTGCCCGTGGCCTATGATGTTGGGATGGACTACAGCAACACACCAACTCTACAGAGGATAAAGCAGTTTGTTGAATGGATCGACTCATATTTGTACAAATTATAATGTAATAATGCTGCAAAATACTACACAGAAGATAAATGTATCATGCACACACATTTGAGGTGTTATTAGCAAAAATTTAAAACTGCTTGTTGTAAGTCCACTGTATTGCCAATTTTCACAAAATTTGGAACGCATTCTCGGTTTTACACGGTCAATGAATATGTACTTTTTTTTTTGCAATGGTAAGCCGTTCAGATTTGATGTTATTAGCTGCTGGTGGCCATGTTTTTTTAATGTATCTTAGTGAGAATTGAGGATATGTTTGGATGTCCACCAAATTTTCAACTTTATCAACCATACGGTTATGGCATTATTAAATCATATCTGTTGTAGCACCCCGTATGATAGAAATAGGATCAAATTCGATGTGTGTCCACTGTCCACTATGTGTACCAAGTTTCGTTAAGCTTGGACTTTGCTTTCAGAAGATGTTTGCCAGTTAGTGAAAATGGGCCACACCCACATGTCATTAGATTATATCCGTTAAACGGATTGAAATTCTTTTGATAGCTTTTTGCCAGGCGGGTCTCTATTCTAGATGATGCATGTCAAGGATTCAGAGGACACACGAATTGTGTTTCTAGCCAACCTTAGGATCCAGAGTTATTAACCAAAACGCAAAGTGGCGCCACCTAGTGTCCGACAGACGCATTTCAATGTGGGTGGGATTTCTGACCATCTCAAGTTTTAGGTCTGTACGATGTACTACCCAGCCCCAGACGGTTTTAGGGCAGGAATAGAAACATAATAAGAAGATAATCCTTACAAATACAATAAGGTACCTGCACTTTGTGCTTGCCTTGGACCCCTAATAACTTTTCCCTCCCTATTGCAGCAACATTTCCTTTCTGATGATGCGTTTATTGGTGTGAGGGTGGGACAATTTACACTTTCTGAATTCACGATTTTATTGATCCGATAGCTATCTGTCCAAGTGTAAATGCCCTCCAAGACGGATCTGAGACAGATAGCAAACCTCAGGATACATGATGTGAAAACAGATGTGCATGCAGATCTGGTTTAGGCCACAAAAGTAAACTTAAATTGTGTGTGTGCATGTACAAAAACTAACTTTCAAAGATAAGTTCTATCCTATCCTAAGGTCACTTAAGTAAAACTCGTGCTCTGCACCCGCCCCGCGCTCCTCTTATAGCTCTCTGATGTGATTTTGTGTGCGTGTGTATTGATGTGTAAATGACAAATTGTGTTATACATTTGTTTCTTCCACCAAACTTTAATTCCTTGTTATTACTTATTTTCCACTTGAAAGATATAAAAGCACAAATGCCCTGAAAGAGTTGCTACAAAATGTCAAGGGTGTCATTTGGAAAATGTCATACACCGCCTGGCATGAGAAGGGTGATATATTTTAGAGCTCTTCTGTTAATTTAGTAAGCAGTCAGTGGTCCTCTGGTTCATCTCACCCTAGGGGGCTGAGAAAAAATAGACACTGGAAAAGGTCTAAGCCATTCCAACCACTTTGCCCTTGATGATTCATTCACCTACACACTCAAATCCACATATTTAGCCAAACATCTGCCTTAAACTGTCTTCCCATTAGCTAATCCCCTATGGTTGTTTTTCCTCCCTGTTTGCACAGATGCCGTTTAAAGTTTAAGACCTGCATTTTTCCTTGCTTCCTGGTGGTTCAGTTTGTGTGGTATACAGTTCTGCTTCTCTCTGGTTATTTGACATCTAATGGTAGTTGACCAGGACAAAATTCATAGGCTCCTATGAATCAATGTATAATATGTGTATTTTTTAAATTAATTAATTGATTAGTATTTTTTTTACGTTAAAGTCAACATGAGGCAGTATTCGCAACATAGAGGTCTGCGTGGGCCAGTTAGCAGATGCTTGTAGAAGATGCACAAAAGCATATTTCACGCTGAGAAATTGTATTGAGCAATTTTAATAATAATAAATGTATACTTTTATTAAGCAAGCATTGCATTGACAGTATCAATAATGTTACAAAATATTTCTATTTCAAATAAATGCTGTTCTTTTGAACTTTCTGTTCATCAAAGAATCCTGGAAAAAACATTATGCAATTCAACTGTTTTCAACATTGATAATAATAAGACATGTTTCTTAAGCAGCAAATCAGCATATTAGAATGATTTCTGAAGGATCATGTGACACTTTAGACCTGTTTCTGAGTGAACGTCTACCGACAACAACAAAAAAAGGATATGAAAGTTTCTTTGAGCTCTTAATAACTTGCTCACTTGTTTCAAGAGACAATCCCAATCCTTTTCCAACCCCATTACCCCTCTGAGGTCCATGTCTCAAGAGAAGTCTTCCTGTGTCTTCACTCTCCAGCTGATGTCATGACCAAGGACAATGTCACAGCCTATTAAAATCGTCCACACTACTGGATGAAACTCAGTCTTTGCTTCATAAAAGAAGTAGGTGGAGAGGGAGAGATAGGGAGAGCAATCCTTTTATTCACACTGAAATGAAATTTAAGCCCCTACTGTTTTATACCGTGGAACGGATGTTAATGTGGATTCATTTTCTTTTCAATTTTTAAATC